AGGACAGAGTTCTGTTTATTAATTTTAGCAGCTAGGAATAATGGGCACTTGTTTATTGAATGAATCATGAAAGAATAGACTATAGACAAACTCTTAAAGTACTTAAGGGATCGGATTGTCCCCTTTAATTATATATCTCTGAAATATTTCTATCTCATCAAATGGAAGACATTAGCAATTGAAAGATGGACCACTATTCCATGTACCACTAAGAAAGACAAGCACTGCCAATCCAAGTATTATTGCTAGATTATTGGGTAGGGTTGCATCCCAGTTCCAGGAATATTGAAATGTAGGAAAATGTACGTGTGAAAATTATAATCAATAATATACAACATATCTACACGGCAATTTTCTATCACATTTCTTCAGACATTTAAAAACTATATCAGATTTTAAAGAGGCTAATGTATGACATCCCTCCTAAATAGAAAGACATGAACATTGTTCCTCTGTTACAACTCTTCCAAAGTTAACTTTATTTATTTTGTTTATTTATTTATTTATTTATTTTGCAGTTTTTGTCCTAGGCTGGGTTTGAACCCACTACCTCTGGCATTACTCCTTTGAGCCACAGTGCCAGAGCTAACTTTATTATCAGATGCAGGGGATGATTGTTCCTCTGGCCCCAGCAGCCTCCCCGTATCCCCTAGATCTTCCTTTGAATACTCTACTTTTACAAGGAAGCCTCAGGAAAAACATGATAATAAAGTAATCACAGAATGTTCCACTTGCATGGTATTAATGATTCTACCTTTGGCAAACTCGTCACTTTCTGTCATCTTGGTGGTTAGCATAAGACTGTGTATATAAAACGGAGCCTAATTTTAATCTAATTTATTCTGTGATTTAAAAGGCGGATTAAGGCCAAGCATGGTAGCTCACACCTGTATTCCTAACACTCTGGGAGGCCAAGGTGGGTCGAATGCTTAAGCTCAGCAGTTCCAGACCAGCCTGAACAACACCTGGCTACCAAAAACTAGCCAGGTGTTGTGGTGGGCGCCTGTAGTCCTAGCTATTTGGGAGGCTGAGACAGGTGGCATCACTTGAACCCAGGAGTTTGAGGTTGCTGTGAGCTAAGCTGAGCCATGACACTCAACTGACCCCCCTCCTCAAAAAATAGTTAAATAAAAGAAGGAATAAAAAACAACTAAGTTTTAAAAGACAATTAAAATTATAGTCTGTTTGGTGTTAAAAATTCACTTTATCTGCACAAACATTAATTCTGTTTTATCCAAACAGTAGGTCCCTCTAAATAAGACAAGTGAGAAAGATAAATTAATAGAAAACAGTCATTGTATTTTTTGTATGAATTATGAGAGCTGCTGAAATAGATGCAAATTCTTCAATATGAATAGAGCACCTAAATCATATTAGAATATCAAATGGTTAGGATGTTGTAGAATGTTTATTTATCTATTTATTTGAGATAGAGTCTCACTCTGTTGCCCATGCCATGTCATCAACCCAGCTCACAGCACCCTCAAACTCCTGGGTTCAAGTGATCCGCAGCCTCCAGAGTAGCTAGGACTATAGGTGCCCACCATGATGCCAGAGGAATTTTTCTATTTTTAGTAGACATAGTAGTCTTGCTCTTGTTCGGGCTGATCTCCAACTCCTGGGGATCCTAAAGGAATCCTCCTGCCTCCAGCTTCTAGAGTGCCGGAATTACAGGAATGAGCCACTGGGCCAGGCCTGTTTTAGATTTTAGTATAGATCTTGTATTCTTAATATAAATTAAATGTACTTTCAAAATTATTTTATTAGCTAGCCTTTTGGTTTGCTAATTACTGAAGTCATATAATGCATGAGTATTGACTATCCTTCAAAAATATTTGCGTTATACATTTTATTGCAGTATTTTTGGCAAAATGATCCTGTATCATATAGGGATACATGCAAATAATCGATTTTGTTGGTGAGATGTTGTTTATTTGATAAACAATTACAATTTGATTTGAATTGTATCAAATTACAACAATTTGATAAACAACACTACATTTTGTAGTGTTTTGTGACAGTTCCAAGTAAGGCTTTTAACCACAGGAAATTTAAATAGTGAATACAAGTTAATTAAAAAAAAAAAATCCAAACTTTCCCTTTCACCCTTTTGCCTCATTAGCTGAATCCTCAATCATCACTTATATCTCCTTGTGGAGGTCACATGGGAGCCTGTGTACAGTCTGAGGTCTGCAAATTCTAAGTGATTGCTTTTACCACTGGACATTCATAACCAGAGATCTGGCTACTTATTCTGTAAAGTTCACTTTCCAAACCATGTATATGTTGTATAATAAAACTAATTGTCTGGCTTGGCACCTGTGGCTCAACCGGCTAAGGCGCCAGCCACATAGGGTTCGAATCCCCAGCCCGGACCCACCAAACAACAATGACGGCTGCAACCAAAAAATAGCCGGGCGTTGTGGCGGGCACCTGTGGTCCCAGCTACTTGGGAGGCGGAGGCAGGAGACTCGCTTGAGCCCAGGAGTTGGAGGTTGCTGTGAGCTGTAATGCCACGACACTCTACCCAGGGGGACAGCTTGAGGCTCTGTCTCAAAAAAAAAAAATAATAAAAAATAAAAAAACTAATTGTCATTATGTATTATTTTAAGATACTTTAAGACCTTTTCCTCAGTAAGATGAACTTAAAACCATCATTTTCTTAGCTAAGCATAGATAACTCAAAAATTGAAATACACTTATAGAAACTTACCTCAAGAGTAATCTTCTATTTTAATTTCAATTTTTAGTAAAACAGAATGTGATTTCCTCATCTTAGGACGTCAGTGAAAGCTAAACTCTGAATGAAAAGAAAGTTAATAAGCATTCATTCTTTCATAAAATAAATACTATTATTTACTACTTGTGCTGCATTTCAAGAACACGAAAATAAGCAAAAGGTAGTCTCTGCCATTAAGAGCACTATCTTCTGGAAGAGAGAACAGACATGCAAAGAAGCAATGATGGGATGGGTTCCCAAGGGGCTTAAAGCAGAAGAATGAGAAGATCAGGTTTGTGCTGCATGAAAGTAAGCCTTGCCACAAAAAATTATAAAAATAAAATACAAGTTGGAAACATGAAAATTTATACATCCCCTACTGTTGAAGGGTCTCTGTACTAAGCACAGTGTATTCAAACAAGATTTCCACCCTGCAAGACCCCCAAATCCTTGCTATTGCCACACAGATATTTCTGGCATAACTGTTATAATAGTATGAACCTGTAATCCGGTTCACCAATAAGACACACTGGAAAGAAAGTGCTGAAATAAATATATAAATATACCCAATAGATTATCCATCAGTCAACTCTCTCAAACCAGTTGTTTTTCTAAGGCTGAATAATCATGATCATTCGTGAGCCTTTGCCCCTCGCTTTCCCTGACCTAGATTTTTAGCTTCAAGCCAGGCATTCTTAGAACTCTACAGTTTGTAAAACCAGACCATTGAGGGTTGAGTGCCAAGGATTTAAATCATAGAGAATGAAAACTGAAATAATTCAAAATAAAAGTATAATGATTAGTCTAGGAATACTAAGCCTGAGAGAAACATCTGTCCAGGAATAAGGTCAAGTTGCTAAAAAACAAGCAAGCAAAACAGAAGAGTTCCAACTGTAGCAGTTGTCTCAGATCAAATAGAAAATCTATGAAAGATTTTGTAGTACGTTCATAACTAACTAACTCAATAAAACATGGAATAAATAAATAAATAAAACATGGGATTGAGAGTCAGTATGGGTTTTCCACAGGCTTCAAATGCAGAAACAAATGTAGTTTCTTCTAAAGTAGAATATAAGGTCTTTCTCAAAGATTATATGACCTAGGCTGAGCAGAAGAAAAACCTATGTGGAAAAGAAGAATATACAGATTTTAAGAGGTAATGAAAAGGCAGGGAAGGGATTAGTGCCTTTCAAATCCTCCAATTTGATTCCTGAGCTGTGGGGTTTTGTTTAACTGTTAAAGGTGACAGCTGAGAGAAGTATGAATGGATAACTGCGTGTAATTAAGAATTCATAGAGTGGTAGCAATGGGGAAAGGAGAGGATATGGAGTCAAGCAGGTCTGAATTTGAGCATAGTTGTGGTCTTGAAAACATTTAACTTCCCAATTCATTTTCTCCCATAAAAGGCAGATAACCAGGTTTTTACAGGGTAAGAAAGAGCATAGGAAAGTATTTATTAATAAATATTCAAGAGGTGATAGCTCTTCAACAAAAACCTTTTATTTAGATCCACGGTGTGCCTACCACTATGATTCTATGGCTTTTAATCTTCAGCAGACTATGGAACGCGATGAAATGGATTTAGGTGATCAAGAGCATTTCAAACCTCACAGCTCAAAAGAATCTCTTCTCTTTCTCTCTCTCTCCGCCCCTCCCTTCACTCTATCAATTAGGAATTTTAAGTTAACAAGATCTTTTTAAAAAGATACAACATCCTTAAAAAAAAAGATACAACATCCTTTGGGAGGGCAAAACACCTTCACACTCATTGTCATGAGTTCTTTGCTTAGTGAAAAGTTGTTCCTGGGTTCTCTTAGAATTGGAAGAAAGTGATGTGAGTTAGGAACTTTGTGAGGGTACTCAGTATGACAGGAGTGTGGGAAGGGAAAAGTTAGAGAGTCAGAGAAAAGACAGATGAAAAAAAGGCCAAAAACAAATAAAAATTAAGAGCTGTTCCAATTGGGATTTTCCCCTTGGAGAGGACCTTTCTGTACCCTGACAATTTCTCAGAAAGATAATTGACACTTCTGTTAAAATTATCAAGCCTGTCACAAAGTCAGAATCCTTCCTTTCATCCCTATCTCCCCGGTCCAGGCTGGTGAACTCCCCATTTCAAACTCCTGGGCGATCTACTCCATAACTTCCAAGAAATTTTACTGTTATTTTATTGGTATTCACCAGTCTTTTAAAGAGGCAACCCCACTTCTCAACTTCCACTCCTCCATAAAAGAAATGGTAAATTTTGAAAATAAATTGTATATACAGCTATTGAAGCAGAGTCTTTCATATTAGATCATTTTATTGCCTCACCTTTTAGCTTAGCTTTGGCAGCTAAGCTCTGGCCTTAAACTATTGCGACCCAACCCCCACCCTGAACATTTCACAGGCTACTGAGCTATGGAAAGCAAAGATTGCAAGCTTTGGATTCTGGGATTCCCAGGACATCAGGTCAGGCAACTGAGAAGTCCGCCCAGGGGTAAATTCCACACATAGTTTCTTCGCTCTCTTGGACCAGTGTTTTAACATCTGGGTTAATTAGATCGAGCAGACACGGTAATTTAAGCGCAGAAAACAGCTGGGCACGTTGCTCAGAGCACAGACAGAACGTGACCAGTAGTTCTTGGCATCCGCTTCTGGAGATACCAGCTCAGACAGGCTTGTAGCGTCTCGATGCAGATAAAGCAGAACAAATCCGAAAACCGTATGGATCTTTGGGGACAAACTTGCACTTCTGAGAGCTCCTTTAACTTTTATATAAATTTTGAATTTACCCAGGGAGAAGAGGTGCAGGGTGGCAATCGCATCCAGCTAAAAAACAAATATTTGCACTCACTCCCTGGAGTCTTCACAAATAGGGATGGAAGAAAAAACTTAGGAAGTTCAAGTTCAGCAAAAATTGCCACCAAAAATATTGCGCACCTTGGAGTTCATCCGTTCCAAGTCCTTCTCGGCGCGCTCAAACTACCGCCCCACCCCCTCCGTTAAGGACGTAACGCGCGTGCGCCGGAGGCGGGGCGCGGGTTAACGTGCGCCGGGAGGTGGGGCGCGGGCTAACATGCGCCGAGAGGCGGGGCAGAGCGGCGCATGCGCCCTTATTCGCCGGTCCCAAGCTCCGTGCTGGCAGCTGGAACCGCGAAGGGGTCGGTGTTCGCTGTGTCTCCGAAGACTGAGGAAGGAAGGGATAGAGGGCTAGCGTAAGTGCTCCCCTTGGCCGCATGAGTCCCAAAAGGAATATTCCCTTCCGGTCAGGCCAGTGCCCTTAGGAACCGGCCCCGCCCACTTCCCGGCCTACATTCTCTTTCCCCTTCCCAGGTGGGGACCTGCTTAGTTCTTCTTGTTCTGTCCCTGAGCTCCTGCCAAGGCCATGAAGCTCGTGAGGAAGGACATTGAGAAGGACAATGCGGGCCAGGTGACCCTGGTCCCGGAGGAGCCGGAGGACATGTGGCACACTTACAATTTAGTGCAGGTGGGCGACAGCTTGCGCGCCTCCACCATCCGCAAGGTACAGACCGAGTCCTCCACCGGCAGCGTGGGAAGCAACCGGGTCCGCACTACCCTCACCCTCTGCGTGGAAACCATCGACTTCGACTCTCAAGCCTGCCAGCTGCGGGTGAAGGGGACCAACATCCAAGAGAACGAGTATGTGAAGATGGGGGCTTACCACACCATTGAGCTGGAGCCCAACCGCCAGTTCACCCTGGCCAAAAAACAGTGGGACAGTGTGGTCCTGGAGCGCATCGAGCAGGCCTGTGACCCAGCCTGGAGCGCTGATGTGGCGGCTGTGGTCATGCAGGAAGGCCTCGCCCACATCTGCTTAGTCACTCCTAGCATGACCCTCACTCGTGCCAAGGTGGAGGTGAACATCCCTAGGAAACGGAAAGGGAACTGCTCCCAGCATGACCGTGCCCTGGAGCGGTTCTATGAACAGGTGGTCCAGGCCATCCAGCGACACATAAACTTTGATATTGTAAAGTGCATCCTGGTAGCCAGCCCAGGATTTGTGAGGGAACAATTCTGCGACTACATGTTTCAACAAGCAGTGAAGACTGACAACAAACTGCTCCTGGAAAACCGGTCCAAATTTCTTCAGGTAAAAAAAAAAAAAAAAAATCTTACCGGGGAATAATTAAGGATGGGTAGAGGGGTTAGTATAAACGACTCCTGAAGTTTTAAAACTGGGACAGATAAGAGGAAAAATCTCTTTTCAAGGATGGAATTTTAAATAACTTGATGAAATAAAAAGAGGGCTGTTAAATATCTGGTAAATTTACATAGTAAACTCTTTAAATCGTTAAACATATAATATAAAACCTTATTATTGGTTTTGGCTTTAGGTCATTGTGGGCTGATTAATGGGTGTTCTGAGATATCCTTTGTCTAACTTTTATAATTGTAACTCTAGGTACATGCCTCCTCTGGACACAAGTACTCCCTGAAAGAGGCTCTTTGTGACCCTACAGTAGCTAGCCGCCTTTCAGACACTAAAGCTGCTGGAGAAGTAAAAGCCCTGGATGACTTCTATAAAATGTTACAACATGAACCTGACCGAGCTTTCTATGGACTCAAGCAGGTGGAGAAGGCCAATGAAGCCATGGCAATTGACACATTGCTCATCAGTGATGAGCTCTTCAGGCACCAGGATGTAGCCACAAGGAGCCGGTATGTGAGGCTGGTGGACAGTGTGAAAGAGAATGCTGGCTCCGTTAGGATATTCTCAAGTCTTCATGTATCTGGTGAACAGCTTGGCCAACTGACTGGGGTAGCTGCCATTCTCCGATTCCCTGTCCCTGAACTCTCTGACCAAGAGGATGATTCCAGTTCTGAAGAGGATTAATGACTGAAACTTAAAACTGAGACGAGACAACCTTGTGTCTCACTCCCTCACTGTATACCATGCACTTCCCAGGGCCCTTGTGACAGAAGGCTGCTAGACTGGCACTTTTTGATTCATACAGGGGTTTCTTACCTATTTGGTCAAACTAGGTATTTTGTTGTTGGCAGGACATGTATTCAAACTAAACAATAAAAGGAAGTAATTCTAAGTACTACCATCTTTACTATATTAATTTTATGTAGAAATCCTGAATTATTTGTAGTGCTTAGAAAAATGTATATCTGATAAGAATGCCTATGCAGTATGTTGTTTGGGACACATCATAAAATTTTATGCTACATGCTTTGAAATAGTTTTGCTGAGAAAAACCTTTTCACTTTCTCGTTATCCTATTTACATTACTTCTTTATATTAGTTTAGCATGGTGCCCTTGCATTGCATTTAATGATTTTTTTTTCTCCCCACCTTCCCCCACATTGCGTCTTTTTTTTTTAGATTTGAGTATTTTTGCTATTTTAAATTATCCCCCTAACAATTAGTAGACCAGAAGACAAGTTTAAAGAATTGTTTTTCTTAAGAGACTTTTCAAACTAATCATGATAAAAGTAAATTCTTACTGGGTTTTTTGTGTTTTTCTATTGTTGTTATAGTTAGTCATATTTGCTTTAGAGGACCACTTAATCAGTTAGTTTTAGATCATAGAGGTTTGATCTGCTGCAGGTTCCCAAGATAATCTCTTTGAGGCCTTTTAATTTTTAAAATGACACTAGGGTATGTGATATGCCTGTTAACTGGCTAATTAGTGGTAAAGCTGGGCTTCTGTTCTTTGCAAGGAAAAACTGCCACACTGTTTTTTGTTTATTTGTTTTTGCTTTGTCAGAGTTATACTTAATACCATCTTGTATTTGTTTGTGGCATTAGTCCATGCTATAAATTCTTACTGGGCTATTTTAGGTGTGAAAAAATCTGTTCAAAAGGTTTAATTAAGTCATATCACTAGTATGTGATGCTGACTAGTGCGCCAGTACTCTTTAATTGTGGAATTTCTGCAAATACCTTGGCATTTAAAATATTCATTTTATTCATTATTTTTGATGTGCATTTCTAAAAGTTAGGGTGGGAGCCTTGGGAATGTATCTTCACCTTTTACAAACCCCAATTTAGTAAAATAATTAGAAAAATCATATGAAGAGTGATAATGCAGTTTGTAACTCTCAAATTAGTAATCCTATTCAGGTGGGGATACTATAGTTTTAGAACTTTTCTATGTCTGTGGGTTTTCTCCTGGTATAACTGATTTGGATATTTTTCTAATAAATTTTTTAACTATTTTGAGACTATCTTTTGGGAACTGCCACTTCCATATACTTTAAAATCACATATTTATATTTTTATATATCTACTTCCTACTCTAAAAATAATTTATTGCCGTTTCATTGTAATCCATGAATAGTTAACTTAATTATTAAAAATGTTATTAAATAATAGGAAATAAAAGGAAGCCACCAAGATTCTTAAAGTGAGACCTAACGGATAATGAATTATAGTCTCCGTTAAGAATTTGAAGATTTTGGACATCTGTTACTCTCATAATCTATGCTCTACCGAAATGGAGGCTAATAAATCTAACAAGTATATTTTGGGTCATTGGTTCTCAAATTTAGCAGTGTTAGCCTTACCTTGGCAACTCTTAAAGCTCTTGATGCCAGCACTGCAGCCCAAACTAATTAAATAACCTTTTACCCCTAGAAAGGCTTTTTTTGTTGTTGTTTTTTTAAGCTACCCATATGATTCAAACAGACATCAAGGCCTGAACCACTCATTTAATTCTTGCTATTCAATAAGATGATCCATGAACACCCAGCATCCCTGAGAGCTCATTGGTAGCTAGAATCTAGGGTTCTATTTTAGACGTACTGAGTTGGAATCTCAGGTGGTTACTGTGCATAACAAAATCCGACAGAGGCAGCATCTTGTTCTCTACTGGTGTAACTCTGGCTGAGGTCACCATCCAAACTGAAAAAACAAATTTGAGTTTTAAGGTCCTCCAAGAGAGTTAACTAGCCATACTAAGCTATAAAACCTTTCTAGAAAAAAAAAAAGGCTGTTTTTATACACCCGGCTGGTGTATTTCATATAAAAACATCTTTAATTTCTATTTTGCAAAGTTTGTATTTTCTATCATCAAGAGTCTAACTCTGAGCCAGGTGTTGTGGCAGGCACCTGTAGTTCCAGCTACTTGGGAGGCTGAGGCAAGAGAATTGCTTAAGCCCAAGAGTTGGAGGTTGCTGTGAGCTGTGACACCACTGCATTCTACCAAGGGTGATATAGTGAGACTCTGTCTCAAAAAAACAAAAATTATAACTCTGATACAATCATAGGTGGAAACATCAAAATGATAGGAGCAAATAAAATGAATTGTAGTAATTTTCACTATTCTATGAAACAAAAGGAACAAATCTTTGGAAATCATATAGAAGTGTAATTTCAATTGCAGTTTATTAATGCTAAGAAATAACTGTGATAAAACACTATCAATAACATCTTAACCTTCTCTAATATAATGCTGTACTGTAAATTTTCATTTCCCATTGGGTGCTTATTGAAAACAAAGATTTGCTACCTCCAGTGGACTCTAAATGAGAAGCTTGCAAATTATTTCATTGTGCTGTACATATGATGCCTATCAAATATCTTGCTATTCTTGGTCCCCCACTTATATGTTAAATATCTTGCTGATTTAATGACTGGGTTGTGGAGCCTGGATTTCACTTTCATTATTCCCTTATAAACAAGCTAAATCTGTCTCTTCCCAGATACTACTATGGGAGTTTTGTAAAGCTAATTTTTCTTTATTTTTACTTATTTTCTGTCACTAACTTCAGTTTCCTTTTTTTAGCCCCATAACTGATTCTCTCAACCTCAAATCATCTATAATAGAAGTGACTAATAATTTCTGTAGTTCATATATTCTGGAACTGAAATTCTCTGTAAAAAATAAGTATGCAGAGGAAATAGTATTTACACATACCCCCATAATAGCACTTCTTAGTTGGGAAAGAGTATTTTGTCCTTTTATTGTTTTCTAAACAAGACTAACTACTTGGGTTCAGTATCTGAATATATTGAGCTACAAATTGAAGAGGAGTTTCTAAGGTGACTCTGAAGATTTGGAGAAAGAAGAGCCCTTTTGCCTGGAACCAGAACAACATGAGTTGTCCATTTTCTTTTTTTATTATACTCGTGATTTATACATTTAATTTTATCTTTCCTCCCCTCCCCCTGCCCCCATGCTGCCTTTGAACCAGTCACCCGGCTGGATTTCAAAAACACAAACAGTAAGCGAATCATTATTATAAGTAATTTGTGCAAAGTGTGTAAAAGGGCACAATGTTAAAAGGGATTACTTTTGGAAGGAACTTTATAGAGCAAGGGCCAGTAACTTTACCTACAATGGAGAGAAGAGATTTGGAGGGGTTAAGACAGGGAGGGCAAGTGTGCTAACACCCTCTGTGCCACAATAAAGAGTCTGGGTTTACCACAATGAGAAACAACTGCAAAGTGTACCAGGAGAGGGGCATGAAACTTTACATTTCACAATTATTTCTTAGCAGCATCAGAGCTGGAGGCAGGAAGACCGGTTAAGAGAATGCATATTATAAAAATGCTTGAACAAAAGCAGTAATGACGTTCTTGCAATATTAATCAAAGGAAGTTGATATGAGACATAAAGAGGTACCATCAGAAGGACTTGGGCTGCAGATCCTTATTCCGAGTTAGGCAAAGAGAACAGTCTAAAGAGAAATCTCTGATTTCTTCGCAGTGGGAAAGATGATGGCACCATTCAAAAAGACAGAAAGTACAAAGAGAAGCTGGTTTGGAAGGAAAAGCCGTAAGTTCAGGTTTGAATCTTCACTTGGAAGTGATATGGAAGTAAAATTCTCTTTGTTACTAAAAAATTAGTATGCAGAGGAAATGGTATATACACATACACCGTGGATCTGCGGTGCTTTCCCACCAGATTGCTACATACTCCATTACTCCTTTCAGGATTCTGCTCAAATTTCAACTTAAGTTCTTCCCAAACTTTTTTTTTTTAAGTACCTTTAAAAATGTATCTAGGGAAAATGTTATGTGGTGGCGATTGAATTTACAAAAAGATTTTGTTTTCTGTGTTTCTATGAGCAGGAGTCAGCAAGCTGTAGCTCAGGCAGGCCAGCCCCTGGGCCCCGAGCCTCCGTGTTCTAACATGGGGCCTTTTCATTTCCCTCACCGTTCTCTTCACTTCCCCTTTTGTTCCCTGAAGAACCACAGGAGTTTGAAATGGGGCATAAACTTATTGCAGTTTTATTCACATCTTCCTTAGAGATTTGAAAATACATGTTTTCAGAATTGATTTTGGTCAGCCCACGATTTGCTGGTGTGCCATTTTTAAGTAAATGAACTAGTTCCCCAGTAATGAACAGCAAGTAACGTGAAAAGTTCAAGAGCAACTTAAAAAAGATCAGTTATTTCAGATAAAGTATTTAAAATGTTAAATAGAAGAATTTTCTTCACATTGATGTATTTAGACTTCGTGCTGTGATTCAGTTTCTGTAGTCGAAGATATGTAGTATTTCAGAAAAATACTGTTCAATATGCTTAATGCATTATGTACCTCTCATGAGTCATTAATTTAGAAATGTATGTGGTACATGCATGTTACTAAAAAGCCAAAATGATTTCTCATGGCGTTAGAATGCCACTATGATATTTGTGTGTGTCAGTGATGCCTTTTCAAGAAAAAGTTCAAAAGTCGATAATGTAGCTAATCACGATGTTGGAAAATGAATGCTGTAGGAATAGTCTTTTGAAGTGTAACTAGGAGAACAACCTGAAGAGGTACTTAACACAGTCATTGCATAGCAAGGAAACTTCACTTACGCTTAAAAATGAAATGGACCACGTTCAGTAAAAAGATGTTTAGATTCACAAGATCGTTAAAAACTATTAGGAAAAGATACTGGTTAAATTGAAGCAGAGAGGATAAAATCCCATTCATTGTATTTCATTATATAGCAAGAATTCTTCCTTTTTAGGAATGTTTGATATAGCGTCACCATCTGTATTCTCATCCATATTTTAAAGTGTTCTTTTAAATCTCCAAGTATAATTTCTTAGACAACATTTATTTTGCGCTATTTAATTTCTCTAAAGAAATAGAGATGTTATTATGTT